GTTTGGGAAACATTGGGTTAGATATTATTCTGCAGCCAAGACACGTCGTGGATCGGTGGAAATTAATTCAAGGACTAGTATCGGTCTGCAGCCCGATGTTTGGGAAACACTGGGTTAGATATTATTCTGCAGCCAAGACACGTCGTGGACCAGTGGAAATTAATTCAAGGACTGGTATTGGTCTGCAGATCGATGTTTGGGAAACACTGGGTTAGATATTCTGCAGCCAAGTCACGTCGTGGACCGGTATTGGTTTGCAGACCGATGTTTGGGAAATACTGGGTTAGATAATATTCTGCTATATAGGGTGTAAAGAAGGAGATACCAAAATGATATTAGGTTTAAAATATTTGAAAGAATACATTTTGACAATTAAACTTGTCTTTGCTGGAAAGTATAATTAGAAATCATACAAATCATATTTTTCAAAATTATTGGGAACATGAACATATTTGGAGTCCTGTTTTCTAGACTTGTTAATAATGACAACTTGAACACACAAAATGTATGTGCTTTGAAAAACAAGACATAAGGTTGTTCTTAGAATTATATCTAGATTACAGTTATTAACTTTTGCAACAGCTGATCTATTGATTTTGGTGTATGTTTATAATTTCACTACTTGTAAGTGTTAGAATAGGTATGTTGATGTGAATGATAAAAGAGGGCAGTCCAGCCAATCAGTCACCCATCCACTGAAAATAACAATCAGATCAATGAATCAAAAGTAAATGTAGTCTCCTTGAACTATGTCTCCATCAAGCAAAAGTTTAAAGAACTTAATTATGCATACCATATCATTAGGCAAACCATTTCACAGGTTTTACGTCTTTCTTTATAGAGCTGTGTGATTATTGGTATTTGCTAATCAATTAATTGATTAAAACACATCCTCTACACTACCTCCTCCTTCACAAAACAAGCAAAAAAACATGGGTGTGTGCTACTTCCAAGACCTTTTCAAGCATTGAATTATTCTAACAAGGTGTTAATTTTATTATTTTCATTCACATTGTATTGTATTTTTTAAGTAATTTTCAAGTTATCCTCAATTTCATATGCTAGACCTCTTCTGAATATTTTCTTTTCTTTAATTGAACACTTAGTGTTTTGCTTTACAGCTTCTTGAGGATCATTTCACTAAAACACAAACTGTAACTGACAAAACAAAGCTTTGCACTGTTATGGTTTGTGTTTTAGTGGAATGTTCTTGAAGAAATGTAAAGTGAAACAATGTGCTTCCAAATAAAAAGAAATAAATTTTGGTGTTTTAAGGTTGTTTATTTCTAGTATTGATATATCTTTTCTACAGAAATTAAAAACACTTGGGTCTTCTGAAGATTGCCATTTGCACATAATGTGAAAAACATATTTTTTTGCCTAAAAAATATTTTGCCACAAATTCTTTTTAAAGAATAACCTGGACACTTCCTACTTGGCAACTGAATTTATAATATTGACTAAATTACCACAGTGAGTTTGCCATTATGTTTGTTTTTAAAATACACAGTAATGTCATACTGATTTTTTTTAAAATTCAAATGAATTGATAATTAAATAATGAAATCATGTTTTACGATCAACAATAAGGTTACTAATGTTTTTATTCAAAACATATTATGATTGCAATAAGAAATAATTAAATAGTCACCTTGCCAGTGTATTTATGTACAGTATTTGAGTAGGATAAATATAATGATATTCAATAAAGTCATCAGATTATTTTGTAACTGCTTATGTTACACATTCAACCTGCCTCTAAACTGTATAAGCTTACCTTATTTCAAGTTATCTGATGTCTTCTCAGTGAAGAAAACATCTGAAGATTTAAAAGAAGTATAGTTAAACACACAAATACTTTCACAATTCACAAATGAAAGGAAGTAAAAGGAACATTTAAATAAACCATAAAAACACTATTACGCGATTGTTGAATTTTTGCTCTATTCAGTCATATTCAAGCTTTCTTTATAGCTTCTAGCAGAAATGCTGCCATAATGGTGGATTTTTGTGCTCGTAATTAACAGTTATAGTATTCATACTTCATTGTTAAAAAGTGAACATTTTCTAAAGTTTTTTTTTTTTTCTGGGAACTACTGCACAGGAAAAGTGTTTGGCTTGTGCTCTTTAGTCCTGTGTAACTCATTGCATCTAAACTATTCAATGAATAGAGCTCAAAATTTTCGTAAATTTGTTGGATATAAACTGTTTTTGTATATTAAAAGTGCTACCCTTTATTGAAAAAATATTTTTTTAAAGAACTCCAGTTTTTTTTAGTACTACATTTAAAAATTACATCAATAAATATATAATCAAACTTTCATGTACAGTCCTAGTGAAAGTAGCATTCTTGTTATGAGGAGAGTACCTTTATTTAAAATTTATGTTATAAAGAAATGGTTGTTGCACATACCATAGTTACTTTTTTAATTGTCTAAAACTTGAATACCCAAAGTATGAAATTGTTTTATGGATTTTTTTTGTGGTTCTATTCAATAGATGTCGCCACATTTACTAAGCCTCAATCACCACTTATGGCATTGAGATATTGTTGTATTTCAGCACAACAGATGGCACCATTATATTTATTATTTTGCTCACATACCTAGATATATAGATGGCCATGCCATTGCGTCACTATAATAAGAATTTCAAAGCTGTTTTCATTAGTAAATGATTAAACCACTTGATGTGGCACCATTACAGTCATTTTAATAGTTCACCAGTTGATTTACACATTATTTATTTAACATTGTTGGTTTGGTTTGTTTCAACAATTTAAATTCAAGAATGTCTGATATTATTTTGATATGATATAAACCTTTTAGACAGGTGTATCAATGTTCAATTAACTGATGATGGTGTTCCAATTTGGTTTCAACTGGATAAGTGAACTTGTAGGATATTGACTGCTCATGATGAAGTTGTAATAGCGGAATATTGAGCGAATTAAGAGACATTCTGAAGATATAGGTCATTATTTTATTTATGTAAAAAATAGAATAAAATCAATATATGTTGTAAAATAAAACTGTTGATAGTTGTAACTTTTATCTTAGCCTGACATGGCCAGGTGGATAGAGCACTTGATTCAATCTGAGGGTTGGGGGTTCAAATACCCCATCCCACCAAATATACTTGCCATTTCAGCTGTGGGGTTGTTATAATGTTATGGCCAATCACAGTATTCATTAGTAAAAGTGTAGCCCAAGGGTTGGAGGTGGGTGGTGACGACTAGCTGCCTTTCCTAAAGTCTTTTACTCCTAAAGTAGGGATGGCTAGCTCAGATAACTCTTGTGTAGCTTTGCACGAAATTCAAAACAAACAAAGTTTATCTTACAGTTCGATGACGAGGAACCCACTTTGATGATGACAAAACCTTGTCGAAACGTTGTACATTTGCTGTCATGTTAAACTTATATTAAAGTTTTTCTTCATTACCCATTTAAGCCGTCTCCAGCCATTATTTATCTTACAGTATTTGGACCATTAGAAAATGAATAAGAATAAAACAAAGTCAAAAGTCTATTCAGATAATATAGTATAGTAACTCCTCCCAAACCATTTGTTGCACTGACTTCTAAGTGTTACCAAACAAATCATTTCATTCTCGAGGTTTGCACATAGGTAAAATTTTTCACTGCATCCCTTGTGGAACTCAGTGATTTCCCAAAAAACACCTCTTGCTAAACTGCTAGACTCACCAACTTCTAAATGGTGCTAATGAATTGTCTCAGCCCCAAGGTTTGGATAAAAGTAAAATTTTTTACCCAACTATTGAGGGAACCTGGATATTTCACAAAAACACTTTTACTGGGATTCCCCGAAAGCAGACTCAAAATTTGGTATTGATTTGCATTGAGAGCATGTAAATAAGTAGGCCTACTAATTACCTTTCATAACTTGGTTAAGGAAATTAAACTTGCATTATAGCAGCAATCATCATTAAACTGAAAAAGTGCAAAATAGTAGTTCAAGCATTAAATTTGCATTATAGGTGCCCTATAAAGGTTTGCTAGTAAACAGTATTCAGAAGCTAGAACACAATATCATCATAGTTAGTACACCCTAAACCACTTAGACATAATGGATTCCAAATTTACAACATCCTGGTGAATAGAGATTCCAACAGATTGGAGAAATAAAATGTCCAACAAAAGTTAGAATTTGGGAACATAATAAATTCTGTAATACTGACGTATCTTCAGAAGAGCATACCATAAATTAGAATAATATAGAAGTTGGCAAAACTTTGATACCCCTTTTGAAAGCAGTCAAATAAATTAGTGGGTTAGATTACTAATGGGGGAGACCCTAGATTGGTGAATAGAACACTAGCCTTTTTATCAAGAAGACCCAGGATTGATTCTTAGCCACAACTACCACAGAAATAGTCCTTTTGGAATACACTAAAGATTTTGTAGGCTACTAACCATGGCAATTATTGATATCTGGTTCTTTCAGCCTTACTGCAACTACCTAATTCAAGATCTCATTTCAGATCTTGGTATTCCAACTTTTCCATAGCAGTTTATCCAAACCACTGGTTTTTAGTATGAATCATTAAATGCCCATCCTTCACAATGCTTGTTCATATGAACCTCATCTAATGCTATAAAGGTGTTATTCATATTTGGCTTGTGGTTCTAATTTATATGACAGTGTGATTGCTGAAACATTACACAAAATCTTGTGCTGTACCATTGGTATCAGCTTATGAAAAATGTGGATGACATTTTTTGTCAGTTTTCTTACAATGTCTTTCACTGGATGGACTTCACTTAAACTGATTGTAGAGTAATTGCAGTAGCAAACTATTTGGGAAAACTTTATATCTAAAATATTAATTTATTAAAAATCATCTTAGTGGTTTAATGGCTGTCATAAACCTTAGGTGCATTTATTTTCAAACTTTTATCCAAGATAAAGATTAGAGATTAAGGCATGAAAAAAATTATATTTAGAAATATATTTTAACAAATATAAAAATTATTTCTTAGGTTTCCATGGTCAAAGCTTAAACCTCTGCTTCGACGAAAGTTGGAGAATGTCATGGATGATTTTTATGAAGCTTACCCTACAGAGGATCTACCACCACTTCCAAATGTGGAAGGTTTTCATTTTGATACTATGAGAAAACGGCTGTTAGATATCTTGGATAGCTTTAACAGGTACACTTACAAAGATAGTTGACACGTGGGAAATGTGTGTGTTTCGCTAGTTTCCTATCTCTTACAAATTATACTTATGTTTACTTGTTTGTAGAAATTTTTCATTTACCACTTATTATTGGTTTAAGATTCACTTTTGTGGGTATTATATTATTTTTCAGTATATGTCCCCTTGAAAGCAGTACATTTAGGACTCTGTGGCTCACTTGCCATTTGACCTGTCAAATGCAAATTTTTATGAACAGACTGATATTTTACCAAACTAGTCTTTCTTACACATGTATTTTAAGTAATAAATGTGATTACTTACATTTCACTTTTGTACAATTAGAAGACCACTAGCATGGTATTCTAGTGGATCCAAAATGAAGTTAAAAAACTGAACTGCATTGGCAAGCCTTGCTTTTATGGGAAGTAACATTTTGTGTTTTTTATGGCTCATTATTTTATGTCTGTGTACAAGTGGGATTACAAACAAAAATATTTTTAGCAGTGAGGATACCCAACTACTGATTCAGTGGATTTTAATCATTATTATTTTTAGTTTATGGTATTAAGTACTCATTAGCTGCTTATTATATAGAATCAACATCATTAGTTTACAAGTTACTTTTTATTAACCTTTTATAGATAGATTACTTTTGATCAGAAGTTCTTAATAATAGGTACTTCTGTTATAGTAAAGTTAAATCAATATTATGCAGCTGTGAGCTCCATAATAAAGAAGAAATATGTTGATTACTGGTCTTAAATTTGTTCTTATACAAGTCTATAAATTAAGATAAAGAATAAACTTTTTTTTTTCTGTTTCATGAAAAGAAACTAACAGTTGGCTGCATGCAATGTTTATATATTTGATATTTTAGGCTTGATCATCCACATTTATTTCTAATCTAAATTATATTCTATGTATGAGGCTTAAGATTAAGTTAAATCTGATACACTTTATTATTATTTTTTGTTGTTAGCCTTACCAGTAATTCAGCAGGTAACTCTGCCTTCTACAGGTTTTGGATTTCTTACTCTAATTGTATTTGTATGACATGGTTTTGAAATTGTTCTTAAAGTTACATATGTAAAACTTTATATACTTTTCAGACTTAATGTATATTGAGTAAGAATTGTTTTTTTAACAGTGCACCATTCACTGTTCAGAGATTGTGTGAATTATTGACAAATCCACAGAAGCATTATCATCGAACAGACAAATTTATGAGAGGCCTCGAAAAGGTAAGTTTATTTTGCAGGCATATTTTCAAACATGAGAAATGGTTACAGACTTGATTTATTTTGACTATGCAAAAGCTTGTTTCCTTTGTCTTTTCTGAGTGGATAAGTTGACTCTACTCCAGAAGCACCCTTTCTATTGGATTTGAAAACAGTTTTAATTCTGGTTTCAAAGCTCCTTAACTCTCTCTCCATAGGCATCTCTTTCTGCACTTACCATGAGGTTTTTAGTGAGGTGCATTTAAAATTTGATTAAAATGCTTTCTTATCATGGTATACAAATAAACTTTGCATCAAAATGTAGCTAATAATATGAGTTTTGATATTATATAAGTTTTATAGAGCAACATTTAAAAACAAATACTGAATTTCCCTTAGTATGAAAATTGTGACATTTGCTCTCTACATATCCCCTGTTCTCTAATTTATTTACCACCTTTCCGAGAAGTATGAAATTTAACGTAAATTACTTATTATAATGTTTCCAATATTATTTGGTTAAAGAGCTATAACATAGAAAATCAGACCCCACTTGCCATACCAACCTTGTCACATCCTCTTTTGCAGAAAGTACCAATAGTTCTCTCTGATGTTCAATACTATATTACTTATAACTAATAGAAAACCAAGGTTTTCATCCATCAAATAACTTATTTTATTATGTTTTCTGTACAGAGAATTGTCAGTTTCACTTTCAGTACAAGCTTCATTCCTACAGGAAACACGCTGACTAGCTTAGATGAATTTGTAACGGCTCTTGTCACATAGTTAGTAAGCCAGTAAAATTGTGATAATTATGGGGCTTTGTTTTCTTTTTGGTTGTTATTATTCTGTGTTTTTGGGTGCATTATTTAGTTAAATAAAAAATTATTTAGTGCAATACTACCATTAGTATAAAAAAATAAGTAGGGTTAAGTGTCATTGACAGTCAACAGCAAAAAATAAAAGAAGGCCCAGGTAAGTACTTTATTTCTTGTTTTTTATGTGTATTCTTTGTTTATTATTATAACAGTAACTAAAATGTAAAAATAGGAAATGTTTTATATTAGTTAAGGTTAGATTAAGTAAAATGAATAATAATAATAGTATAATAAATTTTTCATGAGGCACACTTGCGAGTAGCTTGTGTGTTATTGTAATTTAATAGCATAATATGAGCTGCACCAAGTGATTTACAATTTATAATGGTGCAAATAGTAGTTCAACACAGTTCAAAGGGCAATAGAACAATAAAATTTAAATATAAATGTATATTATTACGAGTTTGAAGCTATTTAGGTAAAACAGGTAGTTTCATGTGACAGTTTGAAGTCATTCTAGTGAGAGAAAAATGGTAATTTAGATTTATTTCATTTTTTTTGGTGGTTATGAGGTTAGTCAAATTGACCAACTTTGTATAGAGTTATGGTAGAGGAAATAACAGGTAAAATATAAAGTTTTATTGAAAGAATTGTTTGAAATTTATTTAGGAGGTTTTAGAGATTATGGAAATGAAACTTGAGGTTTTTGAGACAAAGAAAAGAATTTTTAATCTTAATGAGGAAATCACTTTGCTCTTGGAATAGTAAAAAAAAAGACTATATATTGACAGACAATGCTTTAGTAAAAATACTTCATTAAAAATCTTATTTTCTGTGTACGAAAGACTGTAATGTTTACTAAAAAGTCTGCCAAATTGTGTGAAGATATACACACTATATTAAAAGTTAGTAGTATCAAATCTATATGGACTTTGAATGAGTACAAAGAAGTCATGTGGTCAGTCAAATTTACTGAGCCAGTGTTGAGAGAGTTAATACATTTTATTATTTGTTAAAAGTTATTTACATGTTAACAAGTTTTCAGTAAATCTCATTTTTTATGTTGTTATATGTGTGTTTGGCTTCTATGTGCATTCAATGTATGTCTTCTTTATTGTCTTTAAATGCTCATTGTTTAAAAGTTCCAAGTAGAGCCACTGGCCAAATGATTTTATAAACTACCATGAATATGAGTTGACAGCAATATTTGTTAGTTATAATTGCTTCTTAAATCTCTTTGGGTGTGCACACCTTTAAGCCTTCTAAAAGCAATTTTCAAACACCTTTTATCTATGCATTTAAATCAACAATATTTACTCCCTATGGAGATCACAAAAATGATATGTATGCAGTACCTCTGTTTTTTTTTTAAAGAAACTTGAAAGCATCATTTTACTCTGATGGATTGAATTTAAACAAGTGGTCCCATTTATTTGAAACAACATGTTGAATCTAAACAATTGATTATATTCTGATTAAGTTAACTTTCCATATGGGGCTGGTCAATGTGACTGACCTTGTAACCACAAAGTTACCATCAGAGGTTCCATATTATAGCTTTTATTATGGTACATGTATCTTAACAGAAGTTTTCAGTAGACCTTACAAGTCTTTTCTACACAAAAAATCAGATTTTTTAATTAAGTATTTTTATTAAAGATTTGTCCATGAATATATGTAGTCAGAATGTTGACTGCTCTGAGTGCAAAGTGATTTTTCATGTTAAAATTAAAAATACTTTTCTTCATCCTAAAATGTTCATATTTCATTTGCATACCTTTAAAACTTCTTAAATATATATCAAAAGTTTTTTTCAGTAAAATTATATTTTGTCTATTATTTTCTCTACCCTAACTCTTTACAGACTAGGTCAATAGAACTGACCTTTTAACCACCAAAAAAACTAAATTATCTTTTTCCTTTCTAGGATACTGCTGATTGTAACCAAAAACTAAAAGTTTTATCCTAAATAGCTTAAGGCTCTTAACACTACATTTTTTTCTACTTAATTTTATTGTTTGATTGCACTTTGAACCATGTCTAACTAATAATCCTGCCATAGAAGTTGTAAATCACTTGGTGAAGGCGAAGTTCACATTACTTTATTGAATGAATTATATTATTATTATTTTTCATTATCTTACCTAATCTAACAAGTTTCTAATTTTTACATTTTAGCTTACATTACTTTATTGAATGAATTATATTATTATTATTTTTCATTATCTTACCTAATCTAACAAGTTTCTAATTTTTACATTTTAGCTACTCTACAGCAATAAATAAAAAATATTAATGAAAAACAAGAAATATAGTATTTGCTTTCGATCTCTTGTTTTTTACTGTCGGTTGCCAATGTAATTTGAGCCTACATTTTTTATAGTGATGGTACTAGTATACTAAATTTTTATTTACTTAAATAATGCACCTAAGAACACAGAATAATAACATGCACAAAGCAGACAATGTCCTGAAACTATTATAATTTAACTGTGGTCTTAACTAAGACAAGAGGGGCTTAAAATAATTCTCTTAGCTCTTCAATCTGAACATGATTTTTGTGGGGAGGCCCTGCCCTGGGTATATGAACTAGCTTTGATCGCTGTATCATTGTTGAGGGAATCAGGATATTCTTCTTCTTTCTTTTATTGGAAGACTTGAAAAGTAGATATGTGTGAAATTGTTTCTTTTTAAAGTGCACTAGTGGTCAGATGACCATCTTGTATTTATATGTTGATGTCGACAGAGTGGGAAGTGGTGTGACAGTTAGTTCCCTCATGAATTCTAATGAGGAGTGGAAAGATGATATACAGTGCCTTGCAAAAGTATTCACCCCCTGCATAGTTTCCACATTTTGTTGCTGTCCGAACTTGCGATCATGAAGTTCTCAAATCGGACTTTAGAATCTACACAATGTACTCCAAATTGAGAAAACTAAAAAAATGCTGATATTATGTAAGTAAGTTAGATTTTCAAAGAAAATTTGAATATTTTCAATTGCATAAGTCTTCAACCCCTTTGCTATGACAATCCTAAATCAGTTGAGGTGTAAAAGATTAGTTTGAAAGGTTGCAAAATTAATGTAATGGTCTCTGTCTGTGTGTAATCAAAGTAGTTTAATTTGGCTTTAGAGTATATGCATCTGTTCAAGCTACAACTCTCATAGTGATACGATAAACCAACCATAAAGTCCAAGGAATTTTCCAAACAAGTAAGGGATAAAGTGGTAGAGAAGCACAGATCAGAAAAAGGTTACAAGAAAATTTCAAAGTTGCTGATTATCCCTTTGAGTATGGTGAAGTCCATCATTAAGAAGTACAGTGAGCTTCATACTACCCAGTCACTGCTCGGGTCAGGCCGCCCTTACAAACTAAGCAGCTGGGCAAGCAGGAAGCTGGTTAGGGATACCACTGTGAAGCCAACAGTGACTTTGATAGATTTGCAAAGTTCCATATCTGAGATGGGAGTCAGTGTTCATATATTGACAATATCCCATTACTGAAAAAGAATCATCCTAAATCTCATATAGAGTGTGTGACAAAGTATATAAATGATACTGCAGACAAGTGGCAGAAGGTTTTGTTGCCAAACCTAGTCAACACCATCCCAACTGTCAAGTATGGTGATGGCAGCATCATATTATGGGGATGCGTCTCATCAGCAGGGACTGGAAAGCTTGTCAGGATTGAGGGGATGATGGAAGTGAATCCTAGAGAAAAACCTGTTTGAGTCTGCCAAGAACCTAAAACTTGGTTGAAAATGCACGCGTCAGCAGGATAGTGATTTGGATTGGTTTTAAAAGAAGGAAGTGAATGTCCTGGAGTGGCCTAAGTCAAAGTCCAGACTTGAATCCAATAGAAAATTTATTTGCGAATCTTGAAGATTGCAGTCCATCATTGATCCCCAACGAACTTATCAGAATTGAAGTAATTTTGCCAGGAAGCGCTTCCCCCAAATACTGGGGTTTAGGGGACTGAATTCTTGTGCAATCAGTAAATTTAGATTTTTATATTTTCTGACATTCAACCTCCTTTACCCATAACAGTGTTAAGTTTGATCATTAGAGTTTTGAATCAAACCAAGTTATTAAAAAAAATTGTTTACATTGCTTGTATTTCATCAAAATGTGGCATTACTGGTAGGGGTTGAATACTTTTGTAAGGTATTGTTATAGTATAGTCAAGTTTCTAAATCTGAATTTCATATGGATGCAATTCCTAGTATGTTGTCAAAGTTGAGATCTATCTTTTGCATTCATAGTGATCCCATAGATCTATTTGTAGCAGTTACCATTAAAAGTGAAGATGTTAAATGTAGTTTTGCTAAATGTTGAAGTGTGTGTGTTGGAGGATCAAGTATTTGTCTGGGAAAGATGTGTACTGTGATTTTATATCCATGGTAAAAATGTGCTGTTCCTTTCTTGTTAACTGTATGGCCTTGATTAAAGTAATGGCACAAGTGGTGTCTTATATGTGTGTTTATAAATTTATCACAAAGTGTGATAACTTTGTCAACGTAATGTGATATTTGTTCTGTAGGGCAACTACATACAGATATAGTAGGTCAGTCTGGCTATCCGTCTTGGTGGATTTCAGGCATAAGATAGAAAATAGGAGTTCTAGGTTCATTAACAGTGAGATTCTTGGCTGCAGTGGGTAATTCATCAGCATTAATCATATCTTCAGTTGTGGATGTTAATAGGTTGTTGAAGCCAGTAATTGGGTTGTCTTGAAACAGCGTAGAAAGTGCTGTTGATAAGTTGTTTTAAAGCTTCAGTTATATGTGTAAAACATTTAATTTTGTAAAAATTTTATAATCAACATTCAAAATGCTCAACATGCCATTTTCAAATTCTGCACATGTGCTTTTGGTCTAAGCTTTACAAGCTTATGAAGAGTGGTAGCTTGAAATGTCACCTTCTCAAAATACGAAAATATAACAGTTTGTGATATTTTAAATTGTTCTCTAATTTCTGTTTTAATACCAGTCACCAAAACATGACACACCGTGACTGTGCATAATTTGAAGGTATCATACAAGATAAGTTTTTGCCGACATATTAATATAGAATATTGGTCATGTTTTCAAATCACTTACATTATCAAAAAAAGATTACAACTTTTAGTTGTCTGTTTTTTTGTAATCTAAATAGTTTGTTTTATTGAGTATATTGCAGTTTCATTTGTATTATTGAAACTATGGTAAGGTACATTTAGAGAAAAACCTGTGTTGATCTTACATACATGCATCTATGGAAAGAGTAATATTACCTTTTTTTTTTCCAGAATATCTTGGTAGTTAGTACAATCCAGCCTACACCACAACAGTAAGTAATTTTTGTGTATTGTACTGCATGGTGTGTTTTTAGTAGCTTTGCTAATGAGAAGACAAGTTGGAAAGAACATTTGGTATTCTGCTGGTCAACAACTGCTAGTCTAATGTAACATAGTGTTGTATTGTTGTTCTTTCATTGATGGGTTCTTTTAAATTAGCCAGTGAAAATAATTCATAGTCCAATTCACATAAACTAATGAATTAGTTTACTCCCTCCTCTTTCTACAAGCTGGAACACATGTACACTGTCATAACTTGTTGCAAGTCTAAGATACAAATGATATTAACCAATGTAAAACAAATCAACTCAATTGTACAAAGTAACTCTTAAGTGGAATAATAAACACCGATTCAAATACTTCAAAATCACAACTCTCTATCTTGAAAAAACCCTCTATGTTTTAGAATTGTCTTCTATTTAATATCTATTTCAAATGTGTTACAAAAAACAAACTACACATTACATGCTTAGAACTTTCTAAGTGTTCTAGGCCTATCTTATTATTCCCCCTTTTGAAATGAACATCTCATCATTAAAACAATAGCTTATAACACTACCACCTTCCTGGATCGTGAAGTTCCTTGTAGAATTTTAATACAGTAAATAAAAAATTACACAAAGTTACTCATTCAGCAAATCTTTTTGGTGTTTTTCTCTTCTGAGGCCGATGGTATACAGGTGTGATGACATCTTGTTCCTCGTTGTAGCTAGGAGGGGTGTTCTTCCTGGGTAGATGGGTGGGTGAATCCACTAGTAGATTCAACCTGGATCATCCATCCTCTAGAAGTAGTCTGGATAGGAACTCCAGATTCCTCTGCAGGTTGAGGTTCTTCTCTTAAGCTACCCAATTCGCTGGTCTCTCACCAACATACTTCTAAAGACAGTCATGGTGAATCACCTTTGGCTTGGATTGCCTATCCTTCTGGATTCTGTAAACCACATCATTAATTCTTTTCAGTACAGTATATGGCCCCCTCTAAGCACCTGCTTAACTTTAGAGTTCGTCTTTTCTTGTGGTGGGTATTTTACAGGCCATACCATGTCACTGTGATGGAATCCAGTCTTATCAGGATTAACATTATAATGACTTTTCCTTTTATCACTAGCTGATTTAAGTCATTTTTTGGGTAAATTGATGTCTGTCATCGATAGTGCTTCTTAATTTCTATACATATCCTTTTTAGTGGCTGTTCTCTGGATAAGAGTACGGAAAGTCTAGTGGTAACTCATTAGTAACAGTGTAAGATCTTGATTCCACATTTTTTTATGTTTGTCTACATACATGGTTACGTAACAGCATGTGTTTGTATATCTCCACCATGTCATCAGAAGACAGATTAAGAGCTGTTGTTCTAGTCTTTTTAATCCCAAGAACACAACACATTTCTGGAAACAAGTCTGATTCAAAGTTCTGTCCCTGATCCAAGTGAAGTTCCATGGGCATACCAAATCTTGAAATATATTTACTGATGAATTTCTTTGCAAGAGTTTCTTCTTCCTGGTTAGGACAAACGTATGTTTCCAGGCATTTGGTGAAATAATCCATCACAACCATGATACATCTTTTTCCACTTTTTTCTGTGTAAGAGGACTAAACACATCAACAGCAACTCTCTCCAGTGGTGCTTCAACAAAATATTGCTGTAGCTGCCCATGCTGTTTCTTTCATGGGCATTGCTGCTTGTAGCATAGTTCACATCTTTTACACTAATTTTCTCCACAGATTCACAGCACACAACCCAGTAGAAGCTTCAGTGTCTTCTTAACATTAAATAGTTAAACTGTTGGAAGGTTGTGGAGATAACAAAGTGCTTAACAATGTAGAGACTGGGGAAGTACAAACTGTAGTCATTGTTTCTGCCTTTTGGTATTTTCTCATTTCTGACATAATAAGCTCTCTTTTGAAATGTAAGGAATTCTACTGAGCCCAATACATCTTTGTTTGAACAACTGTTTACCATGAGGGTCTTTCTGCACTATCTTTGAGACACTCAATAATTGGTTTGAAACTCTATCTTTTGTCTGAACAGTTTTCACATCAATTATTCGTATCACTGGTGGATGCCACATCTTGGAAAACACTTTACTCTTCTTCAGGTTAGTTGTGTTTTCTATCCTGTGCTTACTTATTCTCACAGTGTTTACACTCATCATATACACATAGTCTTCAAGATAAATGCATCATTATTTCCATGGTTCCATCCAGGATGATATATGATATGTTAAAGTTTTTGGAGCTATCTTGGTATCTAGCCTTCTGAATTATGAAAATTAACCAGCCATTTTAAAGCTGCATGATCTGTCTGGAGTGTAAAATTGTGTCTGTACAGGTAATGATGGAAGTGAATCAGGGCTTGAACAACACTTAGTAGCTCTTTTCGAGTTGTACAGTATTACGTTTTTGCAGCATTCAATTCTTTGTTGTAATATGCAGTCACATGTTCCTTTCTCTGTTGCACTTATAGCAAATCCACTTCAAAATCAGTGAGTAGATCTTCTAGAAGTGGATATGCCAATACTGGAGTAGTTGTCAATGCCTTTTTCAGTTTCTTGAATGCTTATTTGGCTTCTCAAGTACTTTGTATAGAAGATGAGCTATGTTAGAGAAAGGCTTTACAAAACAAAGATACTAAGAGCATAGTACAAAATATTCTCCTACCTCAAGTACATTCTTTGGTGTTGCCCAGTTCTGGACAAGAGTCAATTTTTGACTATGTGTCCCAGGAAATTTGCCTCTTAATGGAATAATTTACACTTCTTGGCATTCAGCCTAAGATTCCTTCTTCTCAACCATTCTAGAACCTTCCTTAGCCCTTCATAAACATTATCAAAGGTCATTCCACGTGTGATTATGTCATCCAAGTAGATGAGTACAACATTCCAGGGCAATTTAGACAGAACACATTTCATTAACTCTTTCGACACGGGCTCGGTCCCTGAACCGTGACCTTCTGTACTCATTTAAAGTTGACATAAATTTAATACTTATAACTCTCTATATATTAGGTATACGTTCACGAAATTTGGTAGTCTTTCACATACAATAAGTCATATTTCTTAGTGAAGTACTTTTAATAAAATAAAATAAAGTTTTGTCAATGAATATCCCGAGTATTTGTTTTGAATAGTCCGTGTGCAAAGTAATTTTCATGTTAAAATTAAAAATACTTTTTGCCATCTCAAAAATCTCAAATTTCCTTTGTGTAATCCCTAAGGCCTCCTAAATGCATTTCAAACTTTTTTCCCTAAATCCTTATAGTTTATATGTTGCTTTCTCTACCCTAATCTGAAAACGGGATCACTTAATTAGACCGACCTCGTAAACACCAAAAATAATCTAAATAAACCTAAATTAACCTTTTTTTCTTTTTAGTATGACTTCAAATTGTAACATGAAACCACATTCGTTTATCCTAAGTAGCACTAAGTTCGTAACATTATAAATTTATTTATAATTAAATTTTACTGTTTTTTTGCCCTATCAACCGTGTCTAACTGCTATCCGTGCCATTATAAGTTGTAAATCACTCGGGGAACGAGCAGCTCACGTTATGCTATCGAATTACATTACCCACGAGCTGCCCGCATGCGTGCTTCGTGAACAATTTTAATTATATTATTATTATTATTACTTATTTTACCTGTTATTGTCTTAAATAACTTAAAAAAATCTGTACTTCTAATTTTAATTACTTTTATAATAATAAAT